CCCCAAAACCCCAAAACCCCAAAACCCCAAAACCCCAGGCTCATACTTAAGGTTGAAATATAAAATAATTTTAAAATGAAGAACTCAATTGCTCTCAAAAAGAATGTTATAGGATTCATATTTCTTATCATCATGAAATTTATAGTGCCAACCAATGCTTTCTGGTCGACTGGTCATATGATCGTTGCTAGAATTGCTTATGAGCAAATTAAGTCAACTAGTCCAGCTCTCTTAGAGTTGATAGAAACAGAAATTAAACAGCTCAGCCAATTTGCAAAAGAAGACAAATATCCATTTGTTGAAGCTGCGAACTGGCCTGATGACATCAAAGAAGTTGGAGTGCTACAATTTAACCAGTGGCATGAGGTCAGAACTCCTATCATTAGAGATGGATACGAGGGAGACACCTTTGAAGAACCTCAAAATGTGACATGGGCCATCAATCAGATGGTACAGACACTGAATTTCACTGAGAAGAAGGGCATGGATCCTGGATTTGGAGTTTCATTTGCTTGGAGATTTTTGATCCATTTGGTTGGAGATATTCATCAGCCTCTTCATTCTGGCACGCTCTACTCTGAGAAGTTTCCTAACTCTGATGACGTTGGCAACAAGTTCATATGTTCAACTACGGTAAAATCTTAGGTTTATTAATCCAAAAATTTTGATAAATTTTAAAGTAAAGAAATGTGCTAAATACTTCTTAAGATTTCAAGTCTTCAAATGAGTCTTTCCATTCGATGTTCATCTTACTAAGATATTTAACATAAAATAGATCAATCCGAACTATCCTGAATCTGAAATCACAAATCTCCATAAACTCTGGGATTCCTGTGTGGACCAATACGGTTCAATCTGGAACCCTCTGACTCTATCAGAGTGGGATCAAATTGGTACCTTTGCTCATGAACTCATGACTAAGCATCCCAGAGAGTCTGTCTGGAAGCGTCTTGAAATCACCGACCCCTTCGACTGGGCTGACGAAAGCCATGAGTTCGCCAAGGAATACGTGTATGATGGAGTCACACCTGGCGGTAAAGTTTCTGAAGCGTATATTGAGAGAGGAAGAAGACTCATCAACGAGCAGTTAGCAGTGGCTGGGTACAGACTTGCTGATCTCTCAGAAAAGATTGCAACAAAAAGATTTTATGATATTTACAAAGAAGAGCCGGAATATCCTTATTTCTTAGTTCAATTAAACTAACTCAACTAGGGGTTTTGGGGTTTTGGGGTTTTGGGGG